TGAAAACCGAACTGGTTTTTCGGTTTTTTAAATTTTGTAAATTGAATCGGTTTGCAAAAAAACCTAATTTTTGGTTCGATTTCGGACCGGTTTCCGGTTCGGTTCGGTTTTTGAATTATTTCTCCCACCCCTACACTAAACTCAATAGGTTAGCATTTAATAATATGTTTTAACAGTCTATTTAAAACACGTTTGGTCTTACTAGACTAGTTATTTTTTATTAAGGGTAATTAAGTTAAGTCACATGGTTTTATAACTACATTTGTTTTTTAAACAAAACTGATATTTTAAGAATTAAAATCAATAAAAATAGTTATACAAGGTAATTTTTCATTTCTTTACCTTCAATACCCATGTCAAAATAGAGAGTAGAAAGGTCAAAAAAGACGACGTTTTTAGCATTTCTCTTACAAATTTAATTTGATAATGTGATTAATTCTATTTTTTTTTTTTTTTTTAATGACTAGGGGTTGTCTGGGTTAGCTTATATATATCTCAACTAATTTCTTAGGACGCTGGAACTACTGGTCGGATAAGAACTCTAGTAACTATCTCTATTAGCAACTGAGAATAGACTCGAACTCAGAATTTTTTAAGTAATATACCCAAGAGTCATGACATGATTAATAATTTAAGAACCCAATAATTTAACTTTTTATACAAGAAATGGACACATCATGTATACAAGTTTGATCTTTTAGCCACAAAAGGGTGTGTCCCTTAAAGGAGTCACATGGTGAGTGTAAAGAAAGAAACGAACATAAATAATACCCAAGAAATGCACAAAAGTTAGTGACGGAAAGGCAAGACAGGTAGCCAAAATGCCAAATGGTGTAATACTATTTCTATGAAAAGTAATTGTTTTGTTTTGTGGTGTGAGAGAGACTGAGTGAATGTGACATTAGAAGGTGAAGAAAACAAACATGTGAAGGTGTAATGTGTCATAAATAGCCTTCAATTATTCACTCACTTGGGTTGGGGTCTCTCTCTTAGCTAGCTGTCCATTTTGACTGCAAAATCTAGGCATATAAATGGCACTCTTTTTAATGACTTACAACTCCCCATTCAAATCCCATCTTCATTCAACGGTACCTTGGCAGAGGCCTGCGTTTCATTCAATTCACTCATTTTTTTTTTTTTTTTAACCACTATTTATCTCTCAATAATATTATTTTTTACTTATCATCTTATTAATCATTTTATTATCATGTGTAAATATAAAGTATAGTATAGATACCATACATATAATACAGATATCATATATAATTTTAACAAAAGATAGTAAGATAATTAATAAGATCATAAGTAAGTATAGCATTACTCTTTATCTCTATGCATCATCATTCATAGGTCATACAATATGGATATCCATGATAGTTCATATAATTTGTGAGTAAGCCATATGTGTCAATTTTGTAGAAGATATCTATGATAGTTTATGTAAAAGCAAACAACATATTCTTATACGAGGTTTAACAAAATCTTAAGATGACACCACTAGTTACATTTATTTCATATTCTCACTTTTTAAGTAATGTCATTTCCTTTATTTTAACAGTTTTTAACTTTTCATTATAGCGCGATATACGGTTGGCAAGTTGAAGTGCGCCAACATTTTCTTTGGTAGAAGATGAGTTCATGTTAGTAGAGTCCAAGCCGATGGTTTTTTACTTTTTCTTGTCGATTTTGAAGTCTAAAATCACTTTCGAAACTACCGTTGGACTCTCCGTAACCTGCTCTACAAAATTTATACATTCACTTGCTAACATTACTCACCATTTTTTATCACCTCTAACAGTTACTAACGGTGTTAGGTTAATGGTGGGAATCTGGAATAAATACAATAAGAGGTATTAACTTAGAGTTTTGCTAAACCTTGGATAGGAATATGTCTTTTACTCTATGTAATTGGTGAGTGGGGTATATGTGTCAGTTTGAGAGGGGTGTAATGTAATGCAAAGTGGTGTTATTGTCACTAAGATATTTCTTGACCTAATTTCTGAGCTCAATATTCGCTGCAGTCATGACCAGTCCCAATCAAAGGGGGAATAGTAATTTGAAAAATCTCTAGAAATATTTGCAGTATTTTTATGAGAATGAAAGATGACCCAATATTGGGTTGTGAGGAGTAATTTTGTCCCCCAACAACTTGGCCAAATCCTGTTATGCAAATGGTGGTGAGTGATCAAAATTACTACCTTTGATCCATCTATCTTCGTCAGGACATTATTATTTGGCTTTGATTCAGTCTTCAATGTAATTTTAAGCATTAAATTGCTCTAAAGATCCTTGCACCTTGATTTTATGGGCATTGATTAATTAGTAGATGTTAAGTCGAATTTTTTTTTTCAATGGGTAAGCTTTTAATTTAAGAGTTCCAAAGATTGTTAATGAACCATTATGAGCTAGTAAACATTTATTTTATTACCCTTTTATTGTTTGTTGTTTTTTTTTAAATTAATTAAGAGTGTCCGAACCAACTTGCGTACACCTTAACTAATACCCTAAAGTCCTAAAGTTGACAATCACGTAAACGCAAACCCCTTGGTCGCCACCTCTATTTGTGTATGTAGTTTTGTAGGGACTCGAATTCAAAAGCTCATGAAACATTTTTTTTGTTTTTTTACCATCAATTCACCTGATAGTAGTTTTTATCGTTTGTTTTAACAACTCAAACTTAATGGTAGAAATTTTTTTATTATTTAATCAAACTGCATAAAATGTAAGATTATTTGGTAAATGGTAATGCTCCACATGGAAGTCAAGGGATCATGAAATCGGGCCTGGGATATTAGACCCGGCCCGGTGGTAGAGAAAACGGGATTAATTTGAGTGAATGAAGAATGATTATGTTTGAACCAGGGTGAGCAAGAACATTAGAGTTGAGTGGGACAAGAGCGAAGCAAGCCAGCTAACAAAACAAAGGCAATAAAGCAATGAAAAAAGAAAAGACAGGATTGGAATTTGAGTACACTAATAATGGGTCACCCCAACCACCCATCGTGTTGCAAGACTTGGAAACATCACCTACCTTTCACCAATATCATCTTCTACCCGAACTAAAGCCCTAACCCTAACCCTAACCCACAAACCCAATTAAATCAATCTTCATGTCAATGATTTTGGGTTGAAAAGAGGGGTAAGTGAATTTAGATTAGACCCACATGGGCAGGAGTGGGTAGCTTGAAACTCTCTGGTTCCCACTGACGAAGAGTGGGAACAGAAGAAATAAGTTTTGGGGTCAGATTGATAGTGTATTTACATTAGGGGTCAGATTAAGCCAGTTAAAAATGGACTGGACAACACTAGGACAGGTCATGTGAACTCTGGAGTCTGGAGTTGGTCCCAAGTCCCAATACTGAATACTCTCTGCTTTCACCTCATGATTGATGACAATTTTTATGGTAATATCTCAACTTTCATTTCCTTCCATACATGACACCATTTTGGTCCAATCACAAGAAAAAACTATTCAATTCTCTGGTTATGTCTCCGTCTATCTTGTCATCTACCTCCTGCTTCAACTAATTAAAGCAATTAGATGCTCATAATCATCTGATTGCTTAGACAGCTTTATTAATTGCATATTGTTAGCTTTCCTTTTATATATGTTTTGGATACATGAGATGGAAAAGATCAACATATGTGATAATCGTGATTGCCATTAACACTTCTCTTAGTTGTTTGGCCAGCTTCATTGATGGTGTTGGACATTCTTAATCTTAATCGAACTCATTGATGATGGAATGAGTCTAAAAACAAGTCTGTTAATATCAGACTAGAGTAGAGACTAAAATTAAGATCCAAATAGAAATGGACCCGAACTGGTTCCAATGTAATTTTTTGGTACAAAAAGATCATAACTAGATAAACTCAGAATGATAGAGAAGTTAAAGTTGAAGGAATAATATAATCATGACATAATTATAAAGTTCTCAAAGTTCGATCCTTAAACCTTAAAGATTAGGGAACTTCTGTTATGCTTAAAAAAGTAGGGTTGACGTAGAGCCTCGTCAATAAAGAATGATCAGAGCTTAGAAGAGTTATGTGCTGTCCAGGTGCGGCCACATCCCGCCTAGCGCAAATGTTATAACTCCTGTCAGTACAGCAGGTGAGTGCCAGGCCAGCAAGCGGTTGGAGTTCGCCCACGTGTCAAAGACTTATTTTAGTTGAGAAAATCCTTCGGGCAAGTGACCAATAAGACGCAAAGAAAGAATTTGCACAGTACCTACCTACTTGCAGTTTTTATAATCATTACCTTAAACTCTCCCACTATAAATAGAAGATTTCCCTCTTATTTTTGGGAGATTAGCTAATTTTACTTTGAAATAGCTTTCTCTTTAAACTGTAACTCAGCTTGTTGAATGCGATCTGACCTCTCTCTCTTATTAATACAATAGTAGTAGACGTAGGATTTGTTTTTAAACATTCGAACCACTTTAAATATTGTTCTTCACCTTTTATTTAATTCAACCCCTTTATATCACGTTGGACTTCTGAATCCTTTTAGTATTTTACATGTACTAAGTAGTTGGTGTCAAAATTAAGCATTAACATGACCAAACTGGTTGGATGTAAATTTTTGGTACAAAAAAATCATAACTAGATATAACCAGAATGATCAGAGAAATTAAGGCTGAAGGAATAATATAGTAGAAGCAAGTAGGAAGATGAATGGGACGCGTGAGACGCGTGGAAGAGGTGAGAGTGGTGGAATCCACAGAAATGGGAATCTCCTTTACAAGTGAGGGAGAAGGTCAGAGGAGATGAGATGAACACAAGAGTTGGAGGTTGGACCAAAGCTAGGACCAAGCAGAAGAAGACACAACGCAGTGACGTTAAATCAAAGATACTATAAATCTTACTAGCAACACATACTCAATTTTTTTTTCTCTTTCTGTCTGTCTTGTCTTTCTCTGCTGCATCACTATCATCCGTCACGTGACTTCCCCCACCCAAAAACCAAAACCAAACCCTTCTCACTCACCACTGTGTCTACACTGTCTTATGTATCTCTGTGGGGGAGTTTTTTGTTTGTGTTACGGTGTCTGAGAAGAGAGAGAATAAGAAAGTTAAAAAACAAGCAAAAAAAAGCAGAAGGGTATCTCTTTTCCCTCTCCCACTCCTTCCCCACTCTATCTATCTCTTCTTTCAAGTCTTTTCCTTGTGTGAGAAAGGAATAGAGAGAGAGAGAGAGAGAAAGTTTGTGTGGCTTGTTTATAAGAAATGCAGCAGCACCTGATGCAGATGCAGCCCATGATGGCAGCCTATTATCCCAACAACGTCACAACTGATCACATTCAACAGGTTCTCTCCTCTCTGTCACTTTCTTTTTCATTTTTGGCTGCCTATTATACGCTTTCTACTTACTTTGTTATCTATTCTATTCCCCCGGATGAATGGATAGTGTAAAAAAAAAAAAAAAAAAAAAAAAAAAAATTTCTTCTCTCTTTTGGTCAAAGTTTGTAATTTTTTCTTTTTATCTTTAGGTTTCGATTGTGAGTGAGCATTTGTTGTTCATGTATGATGTTTTTGAAAGTTTGTTGAGTGTTACTGGGTAGGTAGTTTCCATTTACTTGTTTTGATGTTCAATCATTCTCCAATTATTATTCTTCCAAGTTTCTATTGAGATACTGCTTGAGTGTTGGTAGATGGGTACTTGTTCTTTTGATGTTTCATTGTCACCTCAAAGAGTAGGGCTTTTACCCTTATTAAAATCCTAGATCATTTGGCAAACTTGTATTGGAGGCAGGTAGAGATTTGCTGCTTCTTGTACTTCATGCTGCCATTCTTTATTATATTTGCTTTTTGTGTGTTCTTTAATAACTGTTTATTTCATATTATATTAAAGATTAAACATATATGATATTGAAACTTGATGCATCTTATTGTCAATTTTTTTTTTTAATCTGGTGTTCCTTCTTTTGGTATCTTCTCTAGATACCAATTACTATATCATCTTGTGGTTTGGATAAAAAATGAAAAGTTTTAAAAATTTAAGGAGAAGTACGTTCTGAACTTTTCTGGTGTTCTTATGGATAAATATCTTCCGGGATGATATTAATACTTGATAAAGAACAAAATTTGGACCTAGATGCCTCATAATTCATAATTTGTTATTGCAGCTTTAGGTTATAGTAAATATTGTAAGGCATAATGTGAAGATTTAGTTTCTTTAGTTGTTATTCTAACTGGTAAAATATTTCTTGGTATAGAACCATGATTTATCGATTAAATGCTGAACAATCGTGGACAGAGTGAAAGAATAAGAAATAAATTCTGAAAAATTATTTTTAATAAAGAAAATAAATTAAAAGAGAAGATTCTCTTAAGGTGACATGTCCTGTTCATAAATCTTGGTAGGTCCTTTCTAATCGCGATGAAACCAGTGGCCAAAACCATAGTTTGACATCTTAAAGTAACCTTTGAAGGTGGCTGCTGTATTCCCAGCAATCCTTTAGTATATTTTTAACTCGTTCATGGATTTTCCTTTTAGTATGTTCTAGGTACTGGTAAGCGTGTGCAAGGAGAGAACAGAATATTTGGTTTTATATGTCGTGATTGAATTGAACTATTTCCTTAGTATGATTGCGTCTACATCTTTTCTTTTTAGTGGTCCTTTCTAAATGTTTCCTTTTTATATGTTCTCAATGTGGTGTTGTGGTCCTCTTTTGATAGTCTATTGTTGGTGGTCCTCACTGAATGCGTCCATAATATGCGGATGCATCTCTTTCATTTGCTACATATCATTAATATACTTCTGAGTTAGGATAACAATTTCGAAAATACTATTCATTATAATGAACATGATTGCAGAAATTTTTATATACCCTATAGGTGAGTTCCATACAAAATCAAGCAAGTCATTTCTTTGATGGTGCATTATGGGTGTTTCCCTTAAGGTGTTTGGTATCCTCTGTAGGATGCCTAACTTGGTGAGTGAGATGTTGATTCGGGGTTGGTTTGGAGGTGGTTGGAATATAAGGGGTATTTTAATTAGTAGTTTCTTTTGCCATCTGGTTGACTGTCTGGGAAAAGAGGAACTGAAGATTGCTTAATCGTAGGTTAGCTTGCGAAGGGGAGCATAGAACTACATTGATGTGATGCTTATTCTTGTTTTATTTATATCTTCTTGCTGGATTGCCAGTGCTAGATGAGTGTTTGGTTACTTTTCTAGTTTAATTTCTTTTCTTCTTGCTGTTTAACCGCTTATAATGTGCAGTGATGGAATACGTTTCTACAAAGAAAATTGCTGACTACGTGTAAATCAAAGTGATTGTTGAAATGGCTTACTATGCTGCTCCTATTACCTTAGGAATAAAGCCTAAGCAATAGAAGCCATGATTATGGTCACATTCTTGACAATCTTGGAAGTATCAGTTCCTATTTTCCAGATTTGATCTTCTCTTTCATAGTAAATTGTGTGATTAAGAAAAAAAAGGCAGATCTCGGTTTCAACGCAGTCTCAGTATTTGAGTCTGCTTGTTCTTCAAGGTTTTGTCTATATATTGGAAACAATGGAGGATAAGAAAAGAAAAATGTTAAACTGTTTAAGAATTAGCTTTGTATGAAATTTTAACAGATTTTTATTCCTCTGTGTTGTTTTATTCCATTCTCTGAATGGGGGCTCCACTCATTCTGCATGACTTCCTTCAGGAGAGTATTAAAGGATTTTTCCTACACCTAAAATTTTGAATATTTTACATTTTCTGAGTTATAACATTTCTTACGTGATTCTTCCATGGCTTCATTGTTTATTGATGCAGTATCTAGACGAGAACAAGTCATTGATTTTGAAGATTGTTGAGAGCCAGAATTCAGGGAAACTGAGCGAGTGTGCAGAGTGAGCACTAAACTCTTTCTCTTTCTTTCTTTGTTTCTTTTTGTAACAAACTGTATCTTTGCTTATCTTTTGTTCTCTTTGCTTGCATATCTCAGCCTTATGTTTTACTTTAACTTTCCAATAGCCCTGGATGCTGGATTTTTGTTTCCTTCTCCTTGTATTTTATTTGCAATTTTCTGTCAAGTGGCACGCCCTCTATAATTCAGTGTTGTGGATTATGCTATGAAGATGAGTGGATAATTATCTGGATGCTACCATTGAGTTTCAGTTTTGGCATGTTTTTGAATGAAGAACAAAACAATGGATAGAAAAAGCTACTTGTGTAAGTTTCAAGTGTGCTGACAAAGAAAAAGGCTAGTTTTGTAGAGGACAATGGAGAATATAATAGTTTCAGTTAGAAGTAATGACATGATTTATGAATTGACTTCTTTGCTATTTTACCATCTTACATTATGTTAGGATCCCACATTGGAAGGTAAAAGGGTGGGCATGNTGAGTGTTTGGTTACTTTTCTAGTTTAATTTCTTTTCTTCTTGCTGTTTAACCGCTTATAATGTGCAGTGATGGAATACGTTTCTACAAAGAAAATTGCTGACTACGTGTAAATCAAAGTGATTGTTGAAATGGCTTACTATGCTGCTCCTATTACCTTAGGAATAAAGCCTAAGCAATAGAAGCCATGATTATGGTCACATTCTTGACAATCTTGGAAGTATCAGTTCCTATTTTCCAGATTTGATCTTCTCTTTCATAGTAAATTGTGTGATTAAGAAAAAAAAGGCAGATCTCGGTTTCAATGCAGTCTCAGTATTTGAGTCTGCTTGTTCTTCAAGGTTTTGTCTATATATTGGAAACAATGGGGGATAAGAAAAGAAAAATGTTAAACTGTTTAAGAATTAGCTTTGTATGAAATTTTAACAGATTTTTATTCCTCTGTGTTGTTTTATTCCATTCTCTGAATGGGGGCTCCATTCATTCTGCATGACTTCCTTCAGGAGAGTATTAAAGGATTTTTCCTACACCTAAAATTTTGAATATTTTAAATTTTCTGAGTTATAACATTTCTTACGTGATTCTTCCATGGCTTCATTGTTTATTGATGCAGTATCTAGACGAGAACAAGTCATTGATTTTGAAGATTGTTGAGAGCCAGAATTCAGGGAAACTGAGCGAGTGTGCAGAGTGAGCACTAAACTCTTTCTCTTTCTTTCTTTGTTTCTTTTTGTAACAAACTGTATCTTTGCTTATCTTTTGTTCTCTTTGCTTGCATATCTCAGCCTTATGTTTTACTTTAACTTTCCAATAGCCCTGGATGCTGGATTTTTGTTTCCTTCTCCTTGTATTTTATTTGCAATTTTCTGTCAAGTGGCACGCCCTCTATAATTCAGTGTTGTGGATTATGCTATGAAGATGAGTGGATAATTATCTGGATGCTACCATTGAGTTTCAGTTTTGGCATGTTTTTGAATGAAGAACAAAACAATGGATAGAAAAAGCTACTTGTGTAAGTTTCAAGTGTGCTGACAAAGAAAAAGGCTAGTTTTGTAGAGGACAATGGAGAATATAATAGTTTCAGTTAGAAGTAATGACATGATTTATGAATTGACTTCTTTGCTATTTTACCATCTTACATTATGTTAGGATCCCACATTGGAAGGTAAAAGGGTGGGCTTGTGGGTTATAAAAGGCTTGGGCACCCTCCCTTGGCAAGCCGGTTTTCCAAGGAGAGTTCTATCCAAGCCCATGAAAGACCCATGGTCTAGCCCAGTTGTTGGGGTGGGTTCCTATCACATTACCATTATTAATTAATCGGCTGCTATGTTAACAATTAACAATTGCTCTTAGATGCTATTGTGTTGAAACATGCTTTCATTGATGATCTATTTGCAAATTTGAGGTGGTTTACTCACCTCCTTCCTTTCAAATTACCGTCCTCTGCAGAATTTGAAATTAAGCTTTACAGTGAATGTGTCATCTGTTAGAATATTTTTCCATCTGATAAGTAGGCTATGCACACATGTTGACAGTAGCCTGAGACACAATTGACTATCTCTCTCTCTCAAAAGGACTCTATATCTATTGATGAATTGAAGGACTTATATACGCGCTGACAGTGGCTCACAATCTGAGTATTGCAGCATATAGGCAACATTGTGTTGCTGAATTGTGAATTCAGAGAAATTCTGCTTTAACTGAGAAAGTGGTAAATTTAGAAGGTTACATGAAATCTTGTTAAAATAAAGAAAATATTGTACTTCCGTTTGATACTGTGATATTCATATGGGCACTTTCAAGTACATAGCTTGTAGCGTAAGACATGCCATAGAGTTATAAGCTACCTGGCCATAGTTTGACAGTTTTTTTTTTTGTTTGTCGTGCTTAAACAGCCACTAATCTTTTTTCCTTTTAACAGGAACCAAGCAAGGCTGCAGCGGAACCTCATGTATCTGGCCGCTATTGCAGACTCTCAACCCCAACCACCTAGCATGCATGGCCAGGTGCAAACCTCATATTTGTTTGCAATGTAGACTTGTATATCTGTTGAAGACTGTTCATTTCATATTTTTTAAGAAAGAGAGTTTTGCAATGTAGACCACCTTCACTAAATGTTATTTATCATTTGATAAAAAACTGTATACTCAATTTTCTGGTGCATAAAATAGGATTTAATTGTTATTCTGATTATATGAATTCTCATGGTTGTGTATCATTCTCAGTAATTTCTAAGAGATGATACTTGTTTCTTATTTTCAGTTTGCTTGCTCCTATAATGATTACATATGCTCTTGTATTTCTTTTTTTTTTTTAANAGTTGTTGGGGTGGGTTCCTATCACATTACCATTATTAATTAATCGGCTGCTATGTTAACAATTAACAATTGCTCTTAGGTGCTATTGTGTTGAAACATGCTTTCATTGATGATCTATTTGCAAATTTGAGGTGGTTTACTCACCTCCTTCCTTTCAAATTACTGTCCTCTGCAGAATTTGAAATTAAGCTTTACAGTGAATGTGACATCTGTTAGAATATTTTTCCATCTGATAAGTAGGCTATGCACACATGTTGACAGTAGCCTGAGACACAATTGACTATCTCTCTCTCTCAAAAGGACTCTATATCTATTGATGAATTGAAGGACTTATATACGCGCTGACAGTGGCTCACAATCTGAGTATTGCAGCATATAGGCAACATTGTGTTGCTGAATTGTGAATTCAGAGAAATTCTGCTTTAACTGAGAAAGTGGTAAATTTAGAAGGTTACATGAAATCTTGTTAAAATAAAGAAAATATTGTACTTCCGTTTGATACTGTGATATTCATATGGGCACTTTCAAGTACATAGCTTGTAGCGTAAGACATGCCATAGAGTTATAAGCTACCTGGCCATAGTTTGACAGTTTTTTTTTTTGTTTGTCGTGCTTAAACAGCCACTAATCTTTTTTCCTTTTAACAGGAACCAAGCAAGGCTGCAGCGGAACCTCATGTATCTGGCCGCTATTGCAGACTCTCAACCCCAACCACCTAGCATGCATGGCCAGGTGCAAACCTCATATTTGTTTGCAATGTAGACTTGTATATCTGTTGAAGACTGTTCATTTCATATTTTTTAAGAAAGAGAGTTTTGCAATGTAGACCACCTTCACTAAATGTTATTTATCATTTGATAAAAAACAGTATACTCAATTTTCTGGTGCATAAAATAGGATTTAATTGTTATTCTGATTATATGAATTCTCATGGTTGTGTATCATTCTCAGTAATTTCTAAGAGATGATACTTGTTTCTTATTTTCAGTTTGCTTGCTCCTATAATGATTACATATGCTCTTGTATTTCTTTTTTTTTTTAAATATTTCAGGAATCTTTGGACTTCTTTATGATAGAAATCCCTGATTGTCTTTCAATGTTTTGTAGTTCCCCTCCGGTGGCATTATGCAGCCAGGATCTCACTACATGCAGCACCAACAAGCTCAACAGATGACTCCACAATCACTTATGGCTGCACGATCCTCCATGTTGTACAGCCAACAGCCATTGTCAGCATTGCAACAACAGCAAGTCTTCCATGGTCAGCTTGGCATGAGCTCCGGTGGAAGCACGGGACTTCACATGCTGCAGAGTGAAGGTAGTACTGCAGGAGGCAATGGGTCACTTGGGGCAGGAGGATTTCCTGATTTTAGTCGTGGCTCTTCTGGAGAAGGCTTGCACGGTAGGGGACTAGCTGGAGGGAGCAAGCAAGATATGGGGAGTGCTGGATCCGCTGATGGGCGAGGAGGGAGCTCTGGAGGGCCAGATGGTGGTGAAACCATTTACTTGAAAGGGGCTGATGATGGGAATTGAGAGGTAAGATTGGTGAATCTAGTGGTTTGTTAACATCTGAGTTTAGGTTGATTTAGTTAGACGAATTTAGAAGGAAAATATGAGGGGGGAAAAAAAAAAACTTTGGTATCTGAAGCAATACAACTGCGAGGGGCCTGGCCTCAAAACTTTGGTTTTGCTGTTTTAAAGTACTGAGACAATGCTACTTGTGGTAATGCATCATGTAAATTTTTAGGTGAATTTTGATGTGCTTTGATCTGATCACTTTATTTATCTGTCCATAATTTGCTGTATTGTTTTTGTCAAATCTATCTATGCTTGGTGTTGTAATTCCAAATTATATACAACCGGGTAGTGTTTCTGGTATCAAAGTAGCTCACCATATCAAACACCAAAGGCCTAAATTGGTTTAGGAAAGTAGGGTAGGATGAACCAGGGGTAAGACCCATACCAAGTGGCGAAAAAGGTCCAGATAGGCTAGGAATAGTGTTGGCGGACAAAATGAGAGTAGAACTTGATTGAGTCAAGGAGAGTGCTGAGATCTCATATAAGATAGAAATGAGTTGAGTTTTGAGTCTACAATGGAGAGTAAATAGTATCATGTAGTAAGCTAATTGTTTGAGCAGTTGACAAGCGCTCTGTCCAGTGCTCTGTCTACCACTAGTGATATAAATAGGGTTTTGAGTTTATAGTATCTTGTAGCAAAATCCAATTTTGTTAGCCATTTAAATAGATGTAAACCCCCATAAAGCGGATGTCTTTATAGCAGGCAGCAAAAATCAAACTTTTCGCTGACCATAAATTATACGACAATTCAAGGATTTATAGCAAAGAGCTATCATATCAGAGTTACAAGAAACTGCAGTATATATCATGATTATCATAGNAAAAACTTTGGTATCTGAAGCAATACAACTGCGAGGGGCCTGGCCTCAAAACTTTGGTTTTGCTGTTTTAAAGTACTGAGACAATGCTACTTGTGGTAATGCATCATGTAAATTTTTAGGTGAATTTTGATGTGCTTTGATCTGATCACTTTATTTATCTGTCCATAATTTGCTGTATTGTTTTTGTCAAATCTATCTATGCTTGGTGTTGTAATTCCAAATTATATACAACCGGGTAGTGTTTCTGGTATCAAAGTAGCTCACCATATCAAACACCAAAGGCCTAAATTGGTTTAGGAAAGTAGGGTAGGATGAACCAGGGGTAAGACCCATACCAAGTGGCTAAAAAGGTCCAGATAGGCTAGGAATAGTGTTGGCGGACAAAATGAGAGTAGAACTTGATTGAGTCAAGGAGAGTGCTGAGATCTCATATAAGATAGAAATGAGTTGAGTTTTAAGTCTACAATGGCGAGTAAATAGCATCATGTAGTAAGCTAATTGTTTGAGCAGGTGACAAGCGCTCTGTCCAGTGCTCTGTCTACCACTGGTGATATAAATAGGGTTTTGAGTTTATAGTATCTTGCCGCAAAATCCAATTTTGTTAGCCATTTAAATAGATGTAAACCCCCATAAAGCGGATGTATTTATAGCAGGCAGCAAAAATCAAACTTTTCGTTGACCATAAATTATACGACGATTCAAGGATTTATAGCAAAGAGCTATCATATCAGAGTTACAAGAAACTGCAGTATATATCATGATTATCATAGAAGGAAACAATGACGTTTGATTATTTGATGGTATGCTTATTTTCAATTCATTGCAGAAGGCTGTTCATATCTGAATTGAAGGTATAATACAAAACCTCATATATATATATATATATATATATATGGGCAAATCTTCAAAGGCCTCATTAGATCTGACACCATAAGCGGCTGCTCATAAATAAATACTCAACTAGGTCCACAAAGTAGTGAAGTACTACTGCCACAATTTTCAGGAATCAATTTCTCACTTTATGATGTACCCCAACTGCTGCCTTTCCCCAGTTAGAAAGCTGTCTTTTTGGTTTGGTCCCCTGTGTGTGAGGATTGAAATAAATAGTGCATCTTATTCTGCCATAGCCCATAGGAAATAGGAATCAGTATAAATAGCCCAGTCGATGAGGACAAAGTTTCTGTTCTTTACGCAAAGTATAAATTTTCTTAATACAAAAACTCTTATACTAAAACCAGTATCTTTGGCTTAAGAAATGGTTCAGGTTTTTATTTGTATTGTTTACTCTTTTATATTTATGCAAATCTCGTTTCCCTTCGCTTGACGATTGAGATTTACTCCCAAGACCTCTGGTATAATCTCAGGAGATCGATACGAAGCAAAACTGCATGCATATCTGCTTAAAACGATAACAGTTAAACAAAAGTTTGATTTGATTTTATACTGAACAAAGGAAGAAATTAATATAAAGGACCAAGGACTTAATTAAAAACCTATTAGCTAACTCTAATTAACATTAAACATCAACTCCCTAATCATACAAAGACAAACAATAGGGAGATTGAAATCCAAAGGAACTCTCAGCTGAAACATCTCTCCACTTGAAACCTTCATCAATCTGATCAAGAACTACTGAAGATACATGGCTTGAAAATGCATCATCGAACAAGTAATCATCAGCAGCGAAAACATTAACATCATTCTGCATATGTCTATCACCTTCCTGCAGATTAATAACTTGATAATTATTAGCTTCTTCATGAGGTTGATCAACTGTTGCATAGCTATCATCAGAAAGATCTTTAACAACATCAGAGTTCTTCCCAGTAAGTTCTTGAACAATCGCTCGAAACTCAGAAGCACTGCTAGCCTTCACCTTCATCGGACTAGAAATATACGTAACCTTAATGGGATTTTTCTTAGCTTTAGTTTCAGCAGTTTTTCTCTTCGAATGGTCTTTGAACTTGCCCATAGTTTGTATGAACATGGACTAAAGAGAGAGAAAGAAAGAAGACAGGTTTAATCTGTTATGTGTCTAACTGATTTTGCACATATATATATAGAGGAGAAGGAAAAGGGAGTAGAAATGGAAGGTCGTGATGAAGAGTTTCCAAGAAGAAAGGACTGTTGGTGATTGCTCAGGAAGAAGACAAAATTGGAAAAGAAAATTAAAATGGTTGCATGAAGCTGCATGTGAAAGACAGAGCGAGAGAGAAAGACAATTTCTGTGTTCGGTGGCGCTGGAAATTCTAAAGTGGCTGCTACGTTTACAGTGTTTGAATAATATTATAAAATTTATCAAGAATATATAATTAGCAAAACCAGCTGCAGTCATTATTGATCCAAATAATGACTTAACGAGAGTTAACTACGTCACCACCCCCACCCCCACATAATGACTTATTCACACTTTCATAAACCCTATTTTTAAGATATCATTTTATTATCAAAATTTATATTTTAGAGATAAACAAAGAGCAAACTTGATTTAAACTGTTAAGACTTTTAAAGAAGAGAGACCGGTAAGTGTTTTAGTGATGAAAGGTTAAATTTTAGTGGTTGAGATTGATCAGAATTTGACTTGAGAGAGGCGGCTATACAAACCTTAATTGTTCAATTATCGACGATTGACGGGGTCGACGAGAATAAGGTTTGAAAGGTTTTGATGAGTAATAATTAAGAAAAAGAATGGTAGTGTCGTGAGGTCACAACAATATCAAAATCGAAAATGAAATATAAATTTAGATAATAAAATGATATTTTAAAAATCTATAATCTATAAGTGAAAAAGTGTTGCAAAATTCAACTGCATTAGGTATGCACAAACCCTTCGATTATAAATGTATATAATTGACCTCTTACACGTTGTAAACAAACGGATCAAAGGTGAGTTCTCTGATACTGACTTTGATTTTAGAAATTTGTGAAGTTATCGGGAAGGCGAGTACACATTTTTAATCTCACATTGAAATTTTTAGAATGTTTGGACGATTTGACTGACTGATGTTAGTTGAAGCTTCTTTGATCTTAACTTTATCATTAATTATATAATCTAAACTAAACTATACCTTGGTCAATAAATCATGTGATAGAATTAATATAAAAGATCTTCAATCTCTTTATATATATATATATATATTCTTAGGATTAGACTTGAAAATATAAACATTCAGATAGAACAAGCTAGTCAATTTGTTATAGTATTGACCAAGACCAATACTGATTAGCTCATGTTCACAAAAGATTCACCTATTTTTTTTATGAGTAAGCGGCTTTTTACCCAAGGTTTGCCTTCATTACATTTTCCACCCCAAAAGTTTCAAAATACCACTTTCTCACCCAAAGTTTATATTTCATTACTACTCATTCCAACGGAAAAAATTTTCTCCATCACCACCATTTGAACCTCCGCCCTCCTCTTTACAAAACCCCTCTTACTTCAGCACCTAATTTCTCATTGATTGTTGGCCATTACAAAGCTAAGGTTTTCTGTTCTTAGTTGATTTTCGATTAATTATGATGACGGATATTCAATAGATCACTACCATTCAATCTACCGCCCTCCACTCTACAAAACCCTTCTTACTCTGGCATCTAATTTCTCGTCGATTGTTGGTCATCATAAAGCTAAGGTTTTCTATTCTTAGCTGATTTTTTATTGATTCCGATGATGGATATTCAATCGATCGCTACCATTCAATCCATCGACCTCCACTCTACAAACCCCTCTTACTTTGACATCTAATTTCTTGTCAATTTTCGACCATCACAAAGCTAGAGTTTTCTATTCTTAGCCGATTTTTGGTTGATTACAGCAACGGATATTCAATCGATCATGACCATTCAATCCACTAGTCTCCACTCTACAAAAGCTCTCTTACCGCAGCGCCTAATTTCTCATCGATTTGCAGCCATCACATAGCTAGGGTTTTCTGTTCTTAGTTGATTTTCAACTAATTCTAGCGGTGGATATTCAATCGATCACCACCATTCAATCCACCAGCTTCCACCTTATAAAACCCCTCTTACCCTGGCTCTTGGTAGCTCATCAAACATCGGTTGAGAAAATAAAGTGTTTTTTGGGTATTAACAAAATATAAACTTTGGGTGTAAAAATAGTATTTTGAAACTTTTTAGGTGGAAAAGTGTTATTAAGGCAAACCTTGGGTGGGAAAAAGTTGTTTACTCTTTTTTTATTAGGACATAAAATGTGAAACTGATAACATAATACATAACGTCTCATGTTACTTCTCTTATTATTATTATTATTTTCTTTCATAGAGCACTTCAATTTAGACGGTAATTAAATTATAATTAGTGCCAAATACATATTAGAAAGGGATTAAAATAAATACTTTGATCACTTAAGTAAATACCATGGGGCGTGATGGGACTCAAGCATTAAACTAATTAAAAGCCATCTAGAAAGATTGATAATATATTCTGAATGCGACTGTTTACCCGGATTAATATTTGTTTAATCACTAAATAATTATCTAACCCTTAGTTTTCTGCTTCAATTCAGCTTTGATATACAATTACTTAATTAATTAGTCCAAGCGACTGTGGAAAACTTTGGTTATTTATTTATGTTTTGAAATTTCAAAGCCATCAAGTCAGAGATGTGATACCAGCTCTTAGCTTTAATAGGAAACAACACCTAAATTAAATTAATTAACTAATAATTAAAACGACCATAGAAATCAAACACCCTTTCTTATTAGAGTTAACGACTTTTTCCCATTCAAATAATGGTCTAATGACACTGTTTCATCATGGACTTTTATAATATAATTTTATTATCCAAATTTATATTCTAAAGACGAACAGAGAACAAATTAAGTCCAAGTTATTAGGACTTTTAAAGAGGGGAGACCGATGAGTTTTTTTTTGGTAGAAAGTTGGATTTTTGTGGTTGGGATTGATCAGAATTCGACTTTGGAAGGACGACTGTGCAAACACTAATCGTTCAATAGTCAACGATTGATGAGGTCAATGGGAGTAGGATTTGAGGAGTATTAGTGAGTGATGATTGAGAAAGAGAATGATGGTAGTGTGAGGTAGCAACGATGTTGGAAACGGAAATAAAATGTAAATTTGGGTAGTAAAGTGGTATTTTAAAAGTTTGTGAGTGAGAAAGTATTATTAAGACATTATTTGGGTGGGGAAAATTTTTTTTACTCTTCTTATTATTGTCTATTTTAAACGATCCCATCAAGTAACTCCTTTCAAATCTATTTGGACATAAATACATTAATGTACATATTTTACATGAGTATCATGTTTAAAACAAAATTATTGGTATAAAGGATGTACCAAATACAATGTACCGTTTAAGTTGTTGGTATATGTAACATCGTGCTCATGCCTCTCCACTATCACATTCTACACATCTCTCCACGAAGATTATAACATCTAGTAGAGGTGCATTGAATATAAGAAAGTTTTTTTTTTTTTTTTTTTTTTTTTGGGACTGAGGGTGTTGGACTAGTTTGCGTGCATTTCAATTAATCCCCAGAAGCCTTGAAGTGAACGACCGGGTAAATACCCTCAGTGGCCACCCTATTACGATTTGAGGAGACTCGAACTTAAAAACTCATTTTGGACCCATTTGCTCTTTACCATCATAATATATATTATATATATATATATATATATATATATATATATATATATATATATATATATATATATATATATATATATATATAATATATTATATATATATATGGGTAAAAGTCTTAAATACTCCTAATCTTACTTATGTAAATGAAATTAAAAATGAATGATATAATTAAAAAAATCGGTTGCTAACTAAGAATTATGGTAAAAATTTAGAACAGTTCCATTAACTATAAGAAACTAAAAATTAACAGTTAGGGTATTTTAGGCAAATACAAAAGGGTTTCAAAAGCGGTACTTGTATGATAGGACCTATATTATTTTCAGATTCTACTGGATCTTATTATTAGATCATATCTCAGGGACCAAAATGAATTTACTTTATAGTAGGAAGCAATGTGCTTGTTTTTGCGCATGAAATGTTGTGTGGTGAAAACAAAAAAGACAAAAAAAAAAAAAAAAAAAAAAAAAACAATTTTTAATAATCAAAAGGTGGGGTGTAGAAAAGATTTTGCAATTAACTAGTGTATCATCAAAAGGTGAAGAATAAATTTTTATTTTCCTGTAAAATAAATTTTTATTGATTGAAATAAATAAATAGAGATCCATTTTTGTTTCTAAACCCCTAATTAAATAAATTTTGTTAAATAAAACGTATAGACCTAATCATCTTCTTCCCCATTTATAAACTTTCAAATTTGAATTACAGGGGATTATAAACTATCATTCGCTTGATTCTAACCTTCATTACATGAATCATGGACAGTTGAATCAGGCCAACAATATGCTTTCAACGTAATTACAGTTCTTTTGATTTTTGTGATTGTGGTTCTGCTCTGCCATTGGTGTGCAGAAAAGTTCAGTCAATGTTTAACTAAAATCGAAGGCAAAGAGAAGTTATTTGTTTCATGGACAAACTACACAACTAAATCTCGACAAGTCCATGCCCCATACATCAACCACCACTTCATTGTTTATAATCTCATCCATTCTCATTACAACTTCATGCTCTATGGAAATGATAGTTAGATTGATTATAGGAGAAGAAGTCGAAGATATTTGAACTATCTCTGGATGATCGAGTGGTTTGATAGAGACTTTTAGGTGTATTACTCAAGAGATCTTAAGTTTGAATCTTTCTTTGGGTGCTAATAGCGGTAGCCACTATCCATTGGAGCTCTTATCCAACTGGTAATTCCAAGGTCCCGAAGAAATTCTATCTCTGAGTGATTGAGTGATTTGATAAGGACTATTAGTTGTATTACTCAAGAGAACTTGAGTTCGAATATCTCCTCTGATGCTAATAGAGATAGCCACTGGAGCTTTTACCCGGTTGTTGAGGTGTGCGTAAGTTGCTCTGGACAACCCAGTCATTTAAAAAAAAAAAAAAAAAAATGTATATGCAATGTAAGGGGGTATATATTTTTATTTAAAATTTCCTATTTAATTGGGGCTCAAAAAGAGTTTTAGTGAGGAGCACTCTTATTTTATTTAAATATTATTGGTTGGATCAACCGGGGTTGCATTGACAGCCCACTAATGAGGTTTCTTTAGTCCATTAGTAGTGGGGTGTCAATATATTCATTCATATTTTGCTTCATATTTGTTCTTAATCGAGCTTGGGCTCAGGCCCATACTGAAATATGTTGTGACAGTAAAGTAGTTAAGTAAAAGCTATTTAATTTGCTCCATAAAATATAATTTTCTAATATATTTATAAATGGATTCTTATCAATAACAACGTTATATTCCAACTTTATATCGTAATCTGTGTGACATTTGATTGGTGAATTTTTTTTTTTTTAATTTTAAGAAATTTAATAAGTGAAATAACTTGTTAAATCAACTATCATATAGGTCCGAATACATAATTAAAAGTCCCGAGTTTATGTATATAATATCCTTGTCAATTCACTCATATTGTTATTTTGTCCAATCTAATACAACCCAAATTTTGCATTTATACCTAACACTTCAAGTTCAAAATCAATTATTTTGTATCAGATGATTGTCATAGCAAATTTATATAGTGTCTTAAATACATTTAGACAATTACATTACGTTACACGAATATTTTAAAAAACTATTAAAACATAGATTTATTTTTAATTATTTCATTGCTTTGACGACAAAGATTTTGTAAAGTATATCTACATTATTCAAGTTTAAAAGTATTCATCCTCTTATTGACTTGACAGTGTTATTGAAGTGGTATTAGGGTTGAGTGGTTTCAAATACCTTACATTTTTTGAAGGAACCTGAATCGGAATCGGAATCGGAACTAACTGGTTTCTAAGATTTGGAATTGGAATCGAAACGGTTGGTTCTAGTTTCTAGAAACCTAGAACTCAAATCTGAAAAATAGGTGCTGGTTCTGAGTACCCAGATTAATTTTAATTATACCCTACTTTTAAAAAAATGTATATACACTACAAATACGCCCCAATAGTTTTCAAAAATTAAATTCAATCCCAGTTCCTATCTGGATACCTTGACCTCAGTTCCGATTCCAGTTCCCAGTTTCTACAATGTTGGAATAGAAACCAAACCCCGAAATTCTTGGTTTCAATTTTCTAGAATCGAAACTGGACCCTAATAGGGCCGGTTTCCGTTCCGATTCTCCACCCCTAAATAATCATACCGATTCTTAGATCATCTGAACTTACAAAGTAAAAGAGAAAGAAAGCCCAAAAATACAAGTTAGATTGAGACACGTAGAAGCAAGAGAATCCAATGGTCGTGACAAGAAGTAGTAGCAAAACTACAATAGAAAACGCTACACTCGGTCAAGACATCCAACACAAAAAGCACAACATTCTGTTAAGAGAAGAAGACTTGGTTAGTTGTATAGTAGCCACTAATTGGCGCGAAACCGAAGGAGAAAACAACCGAACTCACAGCTCCTCTTGAAGAATGTCACTCTCTCATGACCATTACCCACCAATCTCACATTCACTTCCATACACAAAACCACAATTTCTCCATCCTCACCAATCTTTTTTTCTTTCTTTCCATTTCCATTTCCACACTTTTGATCCCACTTCATTCACTTTCTGTCCAAACCCCTGTATCTATCTGGACAAATCGGCAACTGGGTTGGTTTTTTTAGTCCTACTTTGGCGAGTTGTGCGTTTGGTTGCTATTGGTTTGTGAAAGGGTGATGGTTATAGGGAAATGGGTCAGTTTCTGCTGTGGCTTTCAGTGATGAAGGAGGTGAGGTTTTGAGTTGGAGAGTGGAGGGTTTTGAGGTTTGGAAAGGTGATATCTTTGGATCTTATAGCTGTAATCCATGAGAAAGAACTTTTCATGCTGAAGCTTTAAATTGATAGCCTGAAATGGTATGTGAACTTTGGCTTATCTATCTGTTTTCATTCCAATTTATGCTAACTGTTGTGTTCTGTTAGTACTGTTGAACAAGACTAGTCTGACTGTGTTATCAATTTTGAATTTGATATTAAAAAGCAATTAATTTGTCTCTTATAAAACAAAAGTATTGAAATTCTTTATCTTATGGAAGTTTCAAAAAATAGGGAATTTGCTAGTGGTTAAGATTTGAATTTTATAATATTATGCCAAACAATTTGAAATTAGAAGACATGGTTGTTGAAAGGAGCAGAAAGGAGAACAATTTTTCAGATTTAGAGAAACAGACAAATGATAGAATGTTGTACCATGGATGAAAATTGGGCAATGGAGCTACAACTAAAAGTGAAAACCAGGAATTGCTGAATCATTGAAAAGTTATAAAGAGAAGTACTGGGGAACTGATTCATACTTTATCACAAAGAAAAATAGATATTCTGTCCCTAAATATGCAATTGATTTCAGAAAAAGCTGGCTAAGACGGCAAACTGCCCTTGCCCTCGAGATATGACTTTTGGTGAAGTAAACCAACTAGTGAAAAAATTAGCTTCGTATAGATATTAGTATTTGAAAAAAGGCAGCAGTTCAAGCTAAAGTTATGGACCTTAGGAGGCAAATTGTGCATTAGTGATGTGATGGTGCCATGTGTTGTAGAATTCTCTTAGCTTTTCAATGAGCAAGATGAACCCTACAGCAGTTCACAATTTCATTTTGCTAACAATTTAATTTAGATGTCCGTCAAGGGATGATAGATGTGAAGGTCCTGTGGCATGCTTTAATAGTTAATGAGAGCTGACATAGAGTTCAAGAAAACAATATTTTGTTGTGGTGCTGGTGGAAATTTCTCTTAAACTGCACGGATTTTTATGTTCTTTAATGAATTTCATCAACAAAGAATAAAGATCATGGCATCTGTTAAGGACATAATCTAAGAGAAATTGTGTCCAAACTATTGACTTATTTGAGACTAAGAGGTAAATCAATAATTAAAATAAACTTCGATGAGTATATATTTTACCGAAAACTTCACAAAATGGACTTCATATTTCTAAGAGATCTCAGTTTTAGTTCAATAAAAATTTTCTTATGCATGTTGGGTTGGTAAAATAAAAAAGAGTATTTGTTTGTTTATTGCCACAACGCATAAAAGAGGATTTTTATTCTTTTTTTTTTTTTAAGAACATCTTTATAGTTGTCATTGCAAAACTTTCCTTTTCACTTATTGATAATTTGACATCTGCAGGGAAGTCCAGTAAATATTATTGTTGGTTCTCATGTCTGGGCCGAAGACCCAGAATTGGCCTGGATTGATGGGCAGGTTTCAAAAATTACAGGACAGGATGTTGAGATCCAGGCTACTAATGGAAAGAAGGTCTGTGAACTTCCCAAGATTCAAGTTACTTTAATTTTACATTCCAATTCTTCTTTCTGCTTCCTTATAGAGCTTTAAGAACGAATTTGTGAATGTATTTAAATTCAAATATTATATTTGCATCTTTGATGTTTGTTCCCTTTCTTTTTATCATTGCATCAACAATGACATATTTTGAGATATGAAAACAAAAGAATTATTGTTTTTAGTACGATGAATTTCAGTTAAAACGTAGTATTGTTGTATCCAATTGCTCAAGTGAACCTATAAGTATCTTATACTTCAAATTTATCCTTTAATCACTTTAAATGATATGTTGTAGTAGGAACCACAAAAAAGTACACAACTTGAAAGTAAACCTTACAATGAGAGATCATATTACCATTAATTTTTGACATTAGATATTTGTGAGGCGCTGAGACAAAGTATTCTTTTTTGGTAACTTTCAGGTTGTCGCAAACTTATCAAAAATTTATCCAAAAGATTTGGAAGCTCCTGCTGGGGGCGTTGATGACATGACAAAGCTATCTTATTTGCATGAGCCTGGAGTTCTGCAGAACTTAAAAATTAGATATGAACTCAATGAAATCTATGTAAGCTTTATGATACATGAAGTTCATGTCTTTACTGCATGGAATGTGCTACTACATACACCTCTAATGCTTGTCATCATTGCAGACCTATACTGGAAATATTCTTATTGCCATCAATCCATTCCAAAGATTGCCTCATATCTATGATGCTCACATGATGCAACAATACAAGGGAGCTCCGTTTGGAGAATTAAGTCCTCATGTTTTTGCAGTAGCTGATGTTGCCTACAGGTTTGCATCATTCCATACTAGAAGCTGTGTATTGCTTTCTGTCTATTAAACAGTTGCTCTTTAACTACTGTCAGGGCAATGGTCAATGAGGGGAAAAGTAATTCGATTCTGGTCAGCGGTGAAAGTGGAGCAGGCAAAACCGAGACCACAAAAATGCTTATGCGGTACCTTGCCTTTTTAGGCGGTAGGACGGCCACCGAAGGAAGAACAGTTGAACAACAAGTTCTTGAAGTATTATCAATAATATACTATTTTTCTATGCTTCAATAAAATTTTATCATTCCGTATTATCTTGTATCATATATATTCCTTTGGTTTCATATTTGAACTCTGATGAAAATGTTGTACTCTCTGAATGCAGTCAAATCCAGTTCTTGAAGCGTTTGGAAATGCTAAAACTGTTAGAAATAATAATTCGAGGTTAGAAAGCTTCTAAGCCGAGAGTAGAGTGTTGCTTAGTTTTGCAAAGATGATGTTTCATTTACTCGAGTGTTACCAAATCCAAGCAAGCTTCATATTTTCACATCTTCCTTATTGATGAATAAATTGTTTTATGTTCATGTCTACTCTTGATGCTATAAGTACAACTTATAACTAGAACAGGTGATTCTTGTAACTTTTTGGTAGTTTGACATTGATTTTTGTTCTGAAATCAATACTGGTGCAGCCGTTTTGGTAAATTTGTTGAGATCCAGTTTGATAAGCAAGGAAGAATCTCAGGAGCTGCCATCAGAACTTACCTTCTGGAGAGATCTCGTGTTTGCCAAATTTCTAACCCTGAGCGCAACTACCACTGCTTTTACCTTCTTTGTGCTGCACCACAGGAGGTATTTCCCCATTGGAATGAAATGTCTGACTGATTATTTCTAGTTTTTGGTGCCTTGAATAATATCAATTTCTTATAACCGCTTGCTGAAGTCACTAGTGTTAACAGGAAGTTGAGAGGTACAAATTGGGAAACCCTAAATCATTTCACTATCTTAACCAGTCAACTTGCTATGAACTGGTTGGTATAAGTGATGCCCATGACTATCTTGCCACAAGGAGGGCTATGGATATTGTTGGAATAAGTGCGAAGGATCAGGTATACCTTTTACAGAAGCATGAATTTAACTACTGTGAAACGTAAAACTTGGGAGGACCATTCTCTAACCATCTCTTTCTCTTTCAGGAAGCAATTTTCAGAGTTGTTGCCGCAATACTTCATATTGGAAACATTGTATTTGCTAAGGGAAAAGAAGTTGACTCATCGGTTCCAAAAGATGACACGGCCAAATTCCATCTTAAAACAGCAGCAGAGCTTCTCATGTATGCATTCTTGATATCAACACCATAGTTCATATTCTTTTTCTCCTTTCATATTAAAGTATTATTCAATTTCAATTTGTTTCAGGTGTGATCCTCTGGCCTTGGAAGATGCATTATGTAAACGCGTTATGATTACCCCTGAAGAGGTTATAAAGAGAAGCCTTGACCCTCAAAGTGCATTAATTAGCAGGGATGGTTTGGCTAAGACAATTTACTCTCGATTGTTTGACTGGTAAATGTTACTGTATTATAAAATACACCAGTGCTTATTGTTGTCCCACATTTAATATGACAAACATGAAGTGGAATGAGAACTGAGATAATGATATGATGCTAAGTGTATATTTGTGGTTATGCACAGGCTGGTGGATAAAATTAATAGCTCCATTGGACAAGATCCTAACTCAAAATCTCTCATTGGCGTCCTTGACATTTACGGTTTTGAAAGCTTTAAGAATAATAGGTAACAATTTGTAGACACTATATACATAGACTGCATAAACAAAATGTCACATTGAAGACCCTGTAGGATACTACCTATTAAGGATTTGGCTTAATATTCATGTAAGTTAGTTCACCATACACCACTTGTGCAGTTTTGAGCAGTTCTGTATTAATTTCACCAATGAGAAATTGCAGCAGCATTTCAATCAGGTAAATGTTTCAGAAAATATTTGCCATCTTAACTGCATTTTAATTAGTAACTTGTAGCTTAAGAGAGTCTGGCAATGTCTTTCAGCACGTCTTCAAGATGGAACAAGAAGAGTATACTAAAGAAGAGATTGATTGGAGCTACATTGAGTTTGTTGATAACCAAGATGTTTTGGATCTTATTGAAAAGGTTATTCCTCTTTCTCCTATTCAATTCAATTCTTCAATGTTATTTTGAACTACCAAGTCAATACTTCAATTGTCTAGACAGTCAGTTCTTTATAAACATATCTTTTCATATCTGAGTCAATTTTCTGATCTATATATAAATATCAAGGGTCCAAAGATGCTAAATTTACGAAATAACTAACTACAAGGATTTGAGCATAATAAGTGTAGTCAGTATGCCATTGTTTCAACAGAGAGGTTTCTGACTTTACATTTTCAATCTAGTCAAGTAGATTTTCAGAGATAGGAGGATTCAATATTTGACAGGATTTCTGACAGTTATTAAACTTCCAAGCTCAGTGGCAATTCAAATTGTTGAAGTTATTCTAGTTATGTGTTTCTAAAAATTGCTATGGGGGATGATCAACTAGTGAACCTTCCATGCTGCTGGGCTTTTTGACAACAGCATCTTATATGGCTAATTTTTCTTGATTTTTTAGTATGGGTTATGGATTTAGTTACATTCCCATACTTCAGGCGAATCGGTTTCTAACCGTTTCTCAAAATATAATGATAGATCTAGCAACTTCACTGGAAGGAATTGGCATGAGTGAGTCATCATTTTATGTTTTCACTAAGAAATCTACTCTTAATTTAACAATGGAATTCTATCTGCGATTTTCACATAGTAAGCTTTATTTATCAGGACAAGAAGATCTATTATCTTTTCCGGAAAAGTTTCTCCAATTCACTGCACATCACTAGTTCATATTTTTATTATGGTTGGGGAAGCGGGGAGGGGGATGTTGGGAAGAGTTTCTAATTCCAAATTATGTATTCATTTGCTTCTCTTGGAGCCCACAAAACTCAACTAAGCCTTTCTCGGGATTAAATGGGTTGGCTATGAAATTTTTTCTTCAAATCCTGTTTCCAGTTCAAGTCTGACACATTTTTTTTTTTTTTTTTTTTTTGCAGAAACCTGGTGGAATCATCGCTCTTCTCGATGAAGCTTGGTATTTTCGTTTTCATTTTCTCTTCTCAAAGAATTGTGGCTGTGATTCACTATATGTTTTACGTTTGAAACTTTTGTTCCTTTTTTTCTCCTTTGGTCAAAATTTTGAAACATTATTAAGTTCGTTGGATGAGTGACTCTAGAATCGAGCTCCTATTTGATGGTCATATTACTTTTCTCATTTTGTAATCCTACCTTCTTTTTCAGCATGTTTCCAAAATCAACACATGAAACATTTGCGAATAAACTCTACCAGACATTTAAAACTCATAAGCGCTTTGTGAAGCCAAAATTGTCTCGCACGGATTTTACCATTTCTCATTATGCTGGAGAGGTATGCTCAACTAACAAAGTTTTTACCAAAACATATAAAGTTCCATTACCAATGAAGTAATAGATATGTCAGGTTATTTTTCTTAATAACATTTCTTTCCAGGTCCAATATCAATCCGATCATTTTTTGGACAAAAACAAGGATTATGTGGTTCCTGAACATCAGGATTTGTTGAGCACGTCCAAATGTCCTTTTGTAGCAGGACTTTTCCCGCCACTTCCAGAAGAGACATCTAAATCTTCTAAGTTTTCTTCAATTGGCTCTCGCTTTAAGGTAGTTTTCCTTCTTTTTTTTCTTGGTGATGTAATAGTTGATGAAAACTATATGTACTACCTCATGTCACTTCTAAAAAACACTATAAATCCTTTTTATGCTACAAGTATTTGAAGACTTGTGTTTTTATGGCGTAAATTATACAGGTACAACTACAACAATTAATGGATACATTAAACTCTACAGAACCCCACTACATCAGATGTGTAAAGCCAAACAACCTTCTTAAACCTGCTGTATTTGAGAATGCAAACATTATGCAACAGCTACGTTGTGGTGTAAGTACAATTTCTTAAATTAATGTCTTTTTTTCTTTCACTTTTAAGTTGGTTTCTGGAAAGAAAGTAATGATGTTGAATTCTTATTAGTTTTCTCACGTTCAGCTGTTACTGATGGCTTTCCTTGTAGGGTGTCCTAGAGGCAATCAGAATCAGTTGTGCGGGATACCCTACTCGCCGTCCATTCTTTGAATTCCTCAACCGGTTTGGGCTTCTTGCCACAGAGGCCTTGGAAGGAAAGTAAGTAAACTTTTATTCTCTGTTTCAGTTAAGCAGAAAAAAAAGAAAAAAGAAAAAAAAGGAAGTTATGAGCTTTTTGACAATAGAAGTTTGGAGCTGGTTTGACTTTCTTGTTGAACTTCATTTCATTAAATCCAAAGCCCCTGTCTACCAGTTCTTCAACCCCAGGGATAACCTCAACTTATTTGTATCAGAAGGCTGATTGCTGATTATAATTGAACTAATTTGCATAATATCCTTTGTCAATGCATCTGCGAGCAGCTATGATGAAAAGGTTGCTTGCCAAAAGATTATGGAAAAGAAGGGGCTTCAAGGATATCAGGTAATATAAGAGATATCTGTGCTATTTGTTGAACTGCCTATAATATTTTGAAACAATACTTATATTGTCGTCTGAGTTGCACTAGAAATGTTAAATGCAGTACATGAATCATGAGAATTTATTTTATTTGCCTTGAAATAATTGTGCAGATAGGTAAAACAAAGGTATTCTTAAGAGCTGGTCAGATGGCTGAATTAGATGCACGGAGAGCTGAGGTGATCAATAATGCTGCAAAAACCATCCAGCGGCGCATACAAACTCATATTGCTCGTAAACGGTTTATTGCATTGCGAGAGGCTACTGTGATTTTGCAATCTGTGTGCAGAGGTGAGTCATCTGAAAATTTTATAGCATAAATCAGGTTGCGTGACTGCATGTAGAGCTATCCCTATAGAGCAGTAGTCCTCTGAATAAAAAGATAAAATTATTATATCTTTTGACACAGCTGTTCAGGGAATCTGTGAACGGTCAATCAGTTTTCTTTTCTAATTTATTTTAAAATGCATTTGTATGACTTGTAGGAAGACTGGCATGCAAAGTTTTTGATGGCATGAAGAAGGAGGCAGCTGCTCTTAAAATTCAGAAGAATCTACGAAGATATGGAGCCAGAAAAGCTTATAAGAAACTCCATCTTTCTGCACTTGTATTGCAAACAGGTTTAAGGGCAATGGCTGCTCATAAAGAATTCAGATACAAGAAGCAAACTAAAGCTTCAGTTATTATCCAGGTTATAACCTTGGCAATCATGTTGCTAAAATGATTCTTTTTTCTTTGCATATCCAGTTGCTTATAACTGTTCCCTTTCTTTGGATAAACGAAAAATATAGGCCCGGTGGCGTTGCCATAAAGCTGCTTCATATTATAAGAAGCTCAAGAGAGGAACAATAAAGGCACAGACAAGATGGAGAGGTAGAATTGCGCGGAGAGAGCTTAGGAAGCTCAAAATGGTCAGTATAGTTATTTTGCAATATAGTTTCATACCATTTATTTTCTGTATTAGACATAAAGACATTGATTATGCATATAGGGCTTGTCCTCTGAGATGATAATCAATTTGAGTTACTGCCAACTTTTATTTGTGTCTTTGGATTTTGGACTGAGGGAGTAGAATCATTTGGAGTTAATGGATTCTGGCCAAACAAATTTAAGCCTTTAACAATTGCATTTGTGTGGATCAAGAAAATTGTGAACATTATTGGAGAAATCTTTGTTAATATCAAACAAAAAAGAAAACTGGTAGTCAGAAGAAAAGGTCTAAAAATAGAAATTAGCAATAGAATTTCTAAGAAATGATAAAAGAGAGAACAAAAATTCATGTTAACAAGAAAAAGCAAGCATGAAGATCTTTTCAGTTATTTGTCTCAAGGGTACGTTAGGCATATTTTCTTTCACCAGTAAGTTGACATATCATATTTATGTATCTCACTTTGACTTTTAGTGAAAACATCCATCTCTTTTTTGCGACAGGCTGCAAGGGACACAGGTGCACTTAAAGAAGCAAAAGATAAGCTTGAGAAACATGTAGAGGAACTCACATGGCGCTTACAGTTGGAGAAACGTTTACGGGTAATAATATGTTCTGGAAGTAGACATCACATTATGATATAATAATTATAAAGAAATAAAAAAAGCCAAAATATAACATAAGCTTTTTCTATTAGAAGTTTACATTTCATAACATAGTATTTATCTTCATATCTTTCAATTACTTTTCTATTTGATCATGTACCGAGGCTTGAAATTTTGCATGCAGACTGATTTAGAAGAAGCAAAGACACATGAAGTAACAAAGTTGCAGAACTCATTGCAAGAGATGCAGAAGAAAGTTGAAGAAACAAATGCATTGCTTATTAAGGAACGAGAGGCTGCAAAGAAAGCTATTGCAGACGCACCTCCTGTTATTAAAGAAACCCAAGTTTTAGTTGAAGATACGAAAAAAATTGAGTCACTAACAGCAGAAGTGGAGAGCCTAAAGGTAAGAGGTTCAACCATTGATTGATACTTAATATTTTTTGATAAAGGAATGTTTATATTCAGTAATCATTCCCTCGCCAAATAAACTAATTTCCTTTTCACCTTAAGCATCAAGTACTGAGGTGAAACATTTTCTTATAGATAATAAAATTTTTAGTTAAACATTTTTCTCTAGAAAACCTCAAATCTTATCTATTCCAAGTGACAACTACTTTTGTGTGAAGATTTAAAACTTCCATGCAATACAAGAATGAGATTGATCTTGAGTTGTAAGTTTTAACAGGCCAAGTTTACAAAGGCAACATCACATTACTATTTTTTGCAAAGCTTAATGTTCAATTTACAAATTATTGTAACTAGGATTGTTTTTGTCATGCTACCGAAAAGGGAAAGGTTTGCAGGGCAGTATTTGTTTTTCTTTGTCACAGTAAGAACTTGGAAACCTGTGTTTCAAGATTTGTTAGATGTGGCAGGATGTTAGTAGAACCATTAAGAGTCAATGTATGAGTTTTCATCAATTTGCTGTGGGTCTTATAGCTCATTATATTATGTCGGAAGTTGATCATAATTATCCAATCTGAGTTAATCTTGATCCTGGCTTCATGGTTCCATAGGATTCATTGCAATCAGAAAAACAAAGAGCTAATGAATCTGAGCAAAAATCCAATGAATTCCAAGCAACAAGTGAAGAAAGACGGAAAAATTTAGAAGAAACAGAGAAAAAAGTTCAGCAACTCCATGAATCATTGAGCAGGTAGTATACTTTCTCTCACTCTATTTGATTCATCTTCACCGCTATTTTGCATCAAATTCAAATCATGTAATCGGTGGCTACTTATTATAAAATGTGATGCTTAACTTTATATACGGAAGAAACAATTATCTGCTTAAACTTTTCTAATGTCGTTCACTCTTGTACTTCCACAATTAGGCTAGAAGAGAAGCTGACTAATTTGGAATCCGAGAATCAAGTACTACGGCAACAGGCTGTGTCCATGGCACCCAATAAGTTCCTTTCAGGACGCTCCAGATCAATTCTACAGGTACTTGTGGAGATAAAGTATTAAATTGTCAATTAGTGTTTATCATCCAGAAGGTTTTAAGATATCTGCATTGTCTAAATAATTGCAGAGGAGTGCTGACAGTGGTCATATATCAGTGGAAACAAAGGCATCTATTGTAAGCAATTCTCTTGTAAGTATATACTACAATGAAAACTAGGAACGAACAAGTTTACTATGAGATTTACCCAAGTCTTCTTCCTTGCCTACTTTCTCGCTGATCACTCTATATATATGAACAGGATCTGCATAGCGCTTCAATAAACAGAGATCCTTCAGAAGTAGAGGAGAAACCACAGAAATCACTAAATGAGAAACAACAAGAGAACCAGGAGTTGCTCATTCGTTGTGTTGCACAACACCTTGGTTTTTCGGGGAACCGGCCTATTGCTGCCTGTACCATATACAAATGCCTCTTGCAGTGGAGATCTTTTGAAGTTGAGAGGACAAGTGTGTTTGACCGCATCATTCAGACCATTGGCAATGCTATTGAGGTTTGAAATGTCCAACTTTCTGTGCTGGTATCATCTTTTGTTAACTTTTCTTAACATCATAATTTAGATTGAGCTTGAATATTACCAATTGGATTTCAGACCCAGGACAACAATAATATTTTAGCCTACTGGTTATCAAATGCCTCTACACTCCTTTTGCTACTCCAGCGAACATTGAAAGCTAGTGGTGCAGCTGGAATGGCTCCACAGCGTCGTCGATCATCATCAGCCACACTATTTGGGAGGATGACACAAGTACAACTTTCTCCATTAGAATCAAGTAGTCACTTAGCAAGTTTCTTTATTCCAGCTAATGCTATTGGTTGTTATTTTTCAGAGTTTCCGTGGGTCTCCTCAAGGGGTTAATCTTTCCTTGATGAACGGTAGCATAAGTGGTGGAGTGGATACCTTACGGCAAGTTGAAGCCAAGTACCCCGCTTTGCTTTTCAAACAGCAGCTTACAGCTTATGTGGAAAAGATTTACGGGATGATTCGAGATAATTTGAAGAAAGAAATTTCTCCATTACTAGGGCTGTGCATCCAGGTATGTATTTTTCTTTAAAAATTAATCATTGAATATATGCTTCTTTGAATCTGGAATTTAAGAAAAATTTCTTCCTATCTAAACTCTCTACAATTGTAAATTTTAACTTGAATATGATGAAATAGGCACCAAGAACATCCAGAGCAAGCTTAGTCAAGGGATCATCACGTTCAGTTGCTAACACTGTGGCCCAGCAAACTTTAATTGCACACTGGCAAGGGATTGTGAAGAGCCTTGGAAACTTCTTAAACACTTTGAAAACTAATCATGTTAGTTAGATCTATTTTTATTCTATTCTTCCTTTTTAGCTTTCCTGTTTCACTCATGTATTGGAGATTCATCATGACTATCCTAAATTTAAAATATTAAAAAAAAAAAATCCGATTCTCACTTTCCAAGGCATCTATGGTTGGCAGATATTTTGTCTAATTTTTGATATCTTGTTTTAGGTACCCCCATTTTTAGTTCGTAAGGTCTTCACTCAAATATTTTCCTTCATCAATGTTCAACTTTTCAACAGGTTTGAATCTATTACTGCTTTTGAATTATTAAGTATTGAAGGTACAAGTTTTCTCTTATCATTTTTATCTCCCACCACTGTCTTGGTTTCAGCCTTTTGTTGAGGCGAGAGTGTTGTTCGTTTAGTAATGGTGAATATGTTAAAGCTGGATTAGCTGAATTGGAGCATTGGTGTTACAAAGCAACAGATGAGGTGATTTTAATGAACTGCTGCTTTACTTCATTATTTAATTATTATATTAACTAAACAAACAAAAAATGAGCAGTATGCAGGTTCAGCCTGGGATGAGCTCAAGCATATAAGGCAGGCCATTGGGTTTCTTGTATGCTTCTATACTAATCTTACTGTTCCATTTGTTACTTTATTACTTGCTGTGACAATGAAAAGAAAGAGAAGATGAAATTTTCTCAAACGTTAAATTTCTTTATTCAGGTCATACATCAAAAACCAAAGAAGACACTGGACGAAATAAGCCATGACCTCTGCCCAGTGAGTGATGCTTATCTAATATTAGCAAGTTGTTACAGTTGTTTCTATGCCCCCTTCTTTTCTGGTTATCAACCAAATTAATGTCTACTGACAGGTCCTTAGCATACAGCAGCTATATCGGATCAGTACAATGTACTGGGATGACAAGTATGGCACGCATAGTGTGTCTTCGGATGTAAGTTTTTTATGGATGCCATTACTCAAACTAGGTTAAGAGTCATCTTCGTCACATGGGAATGCACTATAAATTTTCATAGAGTCATCTTCGTCACATGGGAATGCACTATAAATTTTCATAGTCATCTTCGTCACATGGGAATGCACTATAAATTTTCATAGTATGGTAGACATTCAGGAGAAACTGACTGCTGCCATGTTAATGTTTGTTTTTGTAGGTTATATCCAATATGAGGGTGTTGATGACAGAAGATTCCAACAATGCTGTTAGCAACTCCTTTCTGTTGGATGATGATTCAAGGTTAGCAAATAATGTTGATTATGTGTCGATCTTTTCTTCCTTTCACTTATGTTCTTTTTTGTGTTCCATTTTATATACTATTGCTATCTCAGATTGGCCTACATTATTGGGTATCTCATCAGAAAGTACCTTGAAAATCTAAAGTGTTGGAAACTTAAGGCAAACAAAGCAATGTCACCATATAGTTATTTGAAAATTGAATTTAATGTTTCAATATTTTGGTGAGGGTTGCAGTATATAGTTGAAATGTATGATCATGATAATCAAACATGCTGTAGCTGAATAGAAATCGATGACAGTGACAAGGGGCTATGCACAGTTTGATTGGTTTTCCATAGTTATTAGACACTCTTCCAAGCTGCCTTTACCTACATCACTTTATTGTGGATGTCACTGACCTCTCACTACTTAATTTGTTATGCTGCAGCATTCCATTTTCAGTAGATGACTTATCGAAATCAATGGAACAAATTGACATCTCTGATATTGAACCACCACCTCTTATTCGCGAGAACTCAGGGTTTAGTTTCTTGTTGCCACGGTCTGATTAATCATCATTTGAGACATCAAAGGATTCTTTTTGTTGGCTTCTCTTGACTGTCAAGGTGTAGATTCAAACTTACAACCTCCAAGATTTTGGATGCTTTTGGAGGGGTTGTTCATTCTTTATTTTTCTTTACATTAGATAAATAGTTCATTGATTCAAACAGGGATACCTTTACTCCCCATGCAGCATAAAGTTGAAGATTTACTCTTTTTTGTACAACTAGCTGATTTTTTTTTTTTTTTATTTCATTCAAGAGAAAGAAATTAAAAAGTAGTAGCATTTCTCAGCTGCTGTAGTATTCTCAAACAACTCTTTGCTTATAGATTTCCAGTATATAATTTATTGATTTACAATTGTGTACTTAAAAGTAGTAGAAAAAAGGCAACCTAGTTGATTTTACAGTCTAAAAAACGAGAAAAAGTATTAACTTAAAAGAAACCAAGAATTCACAGTGACTAGTGCCAAAGCCAATACAATTATCAGTGACAACCACAATATGTTTCCAGTTGTTTTCAGTTGCTAATATGAAGTCGAAATAAAGCAGATGCAGGTAGAATAACTACAGACAATGAATCCATCCAAGGAAAGCACAGAGACACATAACAAGGATGCCTAAAACTACAGCAACATCTACTTTACAGGAAAAGCTAACATATATTGACATCAACCATTGAACATCAAAAGTTAACAGCAGAAGAAGCTCAACTGTAGTATCATTTGAGCATATGAAATGCTAAACAGAAGCCACAACCATGAATGATAATCATGTTATAGGAAAGAAGAATGTGGCCAAGCTGGCTTGAAGTAAGGCACTACTTTGCTGAAATCCCATAAAATGGAGGAGCCACGACCATCATATTGGACCACTTCCACCTCTCTACTCTGAAGATGACAAAGAAATATGTTATCTCCAGATCTTATGTAAACGGATTCTGAATTCTGAGAAAGAAATGACAGTATCTGAGTTTCTTTAGATTTAGAACATGTTCTGTAGGCTGTCATAACACTTGGATTCTTCTTCCACATCGTTTTGAAATTCAATCTATATCTCAAGGTCCATCTAGTTTTGAAGTCTGCATTGCTTGAGTAAAGGGATGTGTGATCATCTATTTCTTTTTCAAGAACCCATATCTCCATACCTGACTTACAACTTATACCATACTGCAAAAGCCCATCAGAAGACTCACCAAGAATTTGCTCATCAAAGTCATATGACCCCGGAAGTTGAATCACAGCAATATGCCTCTCTTCTTGTTCCTGGTCATAAATGGCTATATTTCCCCGCATCGCAAACCAGTGTATGACACCTCTAATCACAGTGGCAACTGTCCAAGGACATAATGATAAAGTTGAAGTGCAAGTGAGTATTGAATAATACCATGTAGTAGTCTTTGAACAGAAAGTCTCAATGGTAACAGTATTGACTTCATTAAGTTTACATTCACATTTTGCACGAATGACCTTGTAGCATATAGAATCATCAGGAGAGTCCTCAGCAATGAATGCCATGCACAATTCTTCAAAGTAAACTCGCGGGTGAGGGAGTTTGTGCTGTTTTTTGGTAACTGGATCCCAAACATAGTAGGTCTTTGGATGGCGGCCACAAAGAAGTAGGCCATTGGAAGAGTCAATGAAGTAACCAAGCCGTTTGAGGATTCCGGAATACTTTAGATCATCACCCTCTTGACAAGTTGACAAAAAAGGAAGTGCAGGTTCTGATGGGGTGCGACGTAGGCCACCTGGACGTCTTCCAAGGTACAAGGAATTACAGACAACAAAGCCTAAAAGGCGAGAACTTACTTTCCATCGTCTCAAGTAACTGTGACGAAAAACATAGCTGCAGATACACCTAAGCCACCTCTTTGACACAATTATGAATTTGAAAACAGATTCTGGTGGCAATCGAAGGAGGATGTCACACAGGATGTCATCAGAACTCAATGCATCATGGACACTGTTGCAAGACATCCTCTGAAACTTCATGGAGGCAAGATAATATCTGATAAAGGGCAATTAGCATGACATCAATGCAACAGCCAAGAAATGTTAAAATCATAGATAATCATGAAAATTTGTCAAGACATTTCAATTGAGTAATTGAAAGAGACCTCTGGTCAAACTTTATTCCAGTTAAATAAAAAAGGCCACATACCACAAAATTTTGGTAATGACAGCAATAATCACATTGTGTTTGGGTATCCCTAGGTCAACATGCCATACCTTAGCAATGGATTGGAAGGGGATACCATTTTAAAGAGTCATCTAGCAGTCCAGTATCGGTCAAAACATAATGGCATTATGTTAGGATCCCACATTGAAAGGGAAAAGGGTGGGCATGTGGGTTATAAAGGCTTGGGCACCCTCCCTTGGCAAGCCGGTTTTCCAAAGAAAGTTCAACCCAAGCCCATGAAAGACCCATGGCCCAACCCAAATTGTTGAGTTATTGGAGTGGGTTCCTGTCCATTGGTATCAGTGCATGATCCTGCGCACGCGTGACAGACTAACCTTGGGCTCAGACTGCTACCCCAAGGAAAGGGGATCCGTGAAGTCACCCAAGGCGTAAAGAGGCCGACGTGGAGCCCACGCAACAGGGCCCAGTGGGCCCCCCGAGGGATTGAGAAGGAGAGTTGCTGACAAGTTTCTAGGCGAAGTAAGACCGAAAGGGAGGGCAGTAAAGGCCGATAAGGGCGGGGTAGCCAATGAGGGCGGGCGCTCTCTGGACAGAAGACCAACGAGGGCGTTGGGTCTCGAAGCGTGGGGGAATGTTAGGATCCCACATTGAAAGGGAAAAGGGTGGGCATGTGGGTTATAAAAGCTTGGACACCCTCCCTTGGCAAAGCCGGTTTTCCAAGGAGAGTTCTACCCAAGCCCATGAAAGACCCATGACTCAGCCCAAATTGTTGAGTTATTGGAGTGGGTTCCTATCACATTAATGGACAAAACAAATTACCGTGAAAGCCAAATGGCAAATCAGACTAACGATAAACTCAAGAATAATGCCATTATGTTTTGACCGTGGAAATTTGCTATAACCATGAAAGCCAAATAGCATTTGCAGGTATTTGTCTCTAACAAACGCAAGTCAGAATGACAAACTCCAGTGAGAGGTCACAAACTAGACTCTGAACTTGATTAGAATCTCAACCAAGAGTGGGGAAATTGGTGACATAGGTAACTAGAAATTAGACAAGCTACTATGTTTTACCAAATGAAAAAGTGAATGATATACAAGTATTTATAAACAAAACATAAAATCAATCTTCCACTTGAGTTCAGAATCACTTTGCATATATGTGTAATTCATGTTAAGTGTGATATGACTCATCACAGAGTGGGAAAAACTGAAAATCATCTATCTAGAAACCGCACACATGAACATCTGAGCCACAAGAACTAAACTCTTATGTTTCACAACTTGAAAGGTCTATTTTCAGCTTCTTAATAGAAAGTCCCAGCAAGGCCTACCTCAAACTCCATGCAATCCCAGAATCTCTTCACTTATAAAGGCAACACATAATGCATTTATAGAGCACAATTCAAAAAGCAAATTAGTTAAAAGAGGCAAACTATCTAAGGTTTGAACTGTAAACTTCTAAAAAGCGTCAATTCTAGTGTAACTGAACACCAGTTAAACACATTTCCTTCTACAAACACAAGAAAAAACAAACACATTTCCTTCTACAAACACAAGAAAAAACAAGAAGGGAAAGCAAGTAGAATCTTTTTTTAACTATATCCTTTGCTGACTATGATGTGCACAACTGATGCATAAAAATCCCATACAACCAAAAAAAAAAAAAAAAATCAAATTTGATTGGCTCATCCTAAAAACCACTATAACCAATCCAAAAATCCAGTTTTCCAAACATTACATGGCTACACTAAAATGTTACAGATTACGTAAAAGATCAATTTTGCTAATTTTCAACTAATATTCACAAATAAAGAAGATGCTATTTGTAGAGTAAAAATGAAAACTTTAACACACAGTTTGATCAGTATATTTTAAAATAATTTATGTTTTCTTTCATTATCAGTTCTAAGCTTCTAACCAAACAAACAATGCGTTAATGATTTAAAGTCTACAAGCCATGATCCCAGAAACATGTACGTGCAACTTCAGTCAAAACCCAGAAAAAAAAAAAAAAAAAAAAAAAATGTGACACTTTTACAGTCTCAAGTTACAATATTTGATGCTCAGCCAGCCAAAATATATTTCAGTCCATAAAAGAAAAATTAAAAACAGCAAAAACTTCATTATACAAAGTGTACAGTGCAGAGACGAATACCTGGAAATGCTTGATGAATGTGGAGGAGAGAGAGAGAAAATGAGCGAATGAGTTAAAAGTTATTTGTAACATTAAATGTAACTGTGGAAATCAAGGGTGGAAAAAAAAACCCGAAAACCGAATCATTCGAAAAATCGGTTCAAAAATTCGCTTTTTTGAAACCGGTTCAATTTCGGTTTGTTAAGAAAAAACCGACTTATCAGTTTGATTTCAGTTCAAATAAACCGGTTTTTTAAAATAATATTTTAAAATCCCCAAATGGCCAAATCGGCTAAAAATACTTTCAATTTTTCATTTTTGCTTGCTGCGTCGCTGCCGACCGACTGCAAAGATCCTTCACTCTCTGATCACCAGTTCCCAAAGTATTCATCAAGTCACCGTCACTCGCCAGCTGGTCGAACGGTCAAAGTCACCGCCGTTATTCACTTCTTCAGTCTTCGGCTGCTTCAAATCAAAATCGGCTTTTAGGGTTGGCATTTATGATTTCCCCTTTCAATCTTTGCTTTCACACTCATGTTTATCTTCTTCTTCTTCGAAACACTCTCTACTGGATGGTTGCCAGTTCATATATCTTCTTCTTCGAAACACTTTCAATCCCCTTAGGTCTGCTTGGGAGTTTTTTTTTCACTGGTTTTAAGGGGTTTTTAATTAGACTGGTTTTGAGGTGTTTAAAAACCTCCACTTGCCAGATTTTTAATAGGCTGGTTTTGACTGGTTTAAAAACCCCCCAAAACCAGTGAAGTGTATTTTTAAGGGGTTTATAAAACACTCCAATTAATTGGAGTGTTTTGGCTGGTTTGAAACTTTTATCCCAAAAAAACCCCTTTCCACTCCCTTCGCTGCACACAAAACTTATCTTTGAGCCTAAGCTTCAACAAATTAGGCAGGGACTAAAGGACGCTGATGGGATCTTCACTTAATCCCGATAAATCTAAATCTATTATGTTTAGATCTTCGAGCTCACGAATCCAGATTGGCATCTTCTTCATAGTCCCCATTAAGCAGAGGCGTTGAAGATATCGAGGAGGAGAAGACATGCGTTCTATGTCAATAACCTCTTGTCAACTGGTTGAATCTACAGTTATATGCCCTTAGATACCGCAATTTTTTCAGGTTTTTTATCTCAACTGGAAGTTTTTTCATGCGAGATAGATTCAAATCCAAAGTCTCTAAGTTGACAAGCTTACCTATGGACTTGGGAAGTTTTTTTACTCTTGTATTTCTCAGATTTAAATAATATAATTGTTGATGCGTGATTTTGACACCAACTAATCGACACGTGCATAACGTTGGTTGGCCAAGAGACACACGTGAATATGAGTAACGTGTAGAGTAAATGCAGCAATGAGAGCTTTTTAAAGTGGTTCGGATGCTAAGGTAGCAAGTCCTACGTCCACTGATGGTTGTATTAGTATCGTGGGTCAGGTCGCAACAGCGGACTGACTCACAAATGATTAGGAAAAAGTAAACACAAAGATACAAGAGAGAGAGAGCTAGTTTAGAGTGTAAAAAGGTCGAATCCCCTCAATGAAGGGGTCTTCCCCTTTTTATAGTGAGATGAGTGCAAGTAATCATCATTAAATCCGTGGGTTGGTGCGAATGTCAGGGCAAAATTCGGCTTTATGTCACATTGCCCACCTTCCAAGCTGATTTCACGCGATTTGGAGTAGGGAATGGACACGTGGGAGCTCCACAGCATCTGGCAGGCCTGACGTGCGCTTACTGTTATGACGGGAGCAAGTCACACTCCATCACATGATTTCCCACGTCAGCCCTTGATTTCTCAGGCATAACAGAAGTCCCCTAGTTTTTAAGATTTTGAGGATCAAACCTTAGAAACTAAGTCATGCCGTGATTGGAGGTTCTGACAATTCCGACCTGAAAGAAAGAAGCTCGAGATAGGGCCTTTTGCAAACATGACCTCGCATAAACCTCGTCCAAACGACCTGACAGCCATCGCCCAAGCGTCCTGACTTCATCGGACGTTCCTTACCATACCTTAGGGATAGAGATTTAATGAGGTCGTTTCTGCGTTGATAGGCGCTCTGCATGTGTTAAAGCGTCTGCCAAGCGCATTAAATGCGTTGTGTGCTGATGCGTCATTACTTTGGCAAAGCATTAATTGCATGAAACGCCCGAAACGACATCTCTCATCACAATATTAAATGCGACATCGGACGCATTTAATGCGGAGAGAGAGACGTTGTTTTGATTTTCGAGAGGTGGTAAACGCCAGTTCGTAGTCCATATAAAAGCCCAAATTTTTCAGATGATGCCATCAGAATCCCTTTTGCCTCGAGCGAAAACTCTCTGCAAACCAGAAGCTCTTCTTTTTCGATTGGCATCTCTCCGATACCTGAAGCAAGAACCGTCCACGGTCACGTCCTCCAAAAGGTAAAGGTTATTTCTCCCTTTTTCTTTTGTTTTTGGTAGTGCAATGACGTTGGGTTATCGGATGTTTCATCAGAGACGCGATGCCGGAGTTGGGTTCGAGCCGTGAGTGGCGGCTCGAGTCACTGTTAGGGTTTAGGGAATTTGTCCCATGCCGCCTTACGGGGCAACGTACGATGGCTAAAATGACCTTCTGTCTGTCGGTGTTGCAGACTGCGGAATGGAACCCCCAGCATCCAGATCCGAAGAAAGAGTCGGTTCGTCTTCGCAGGATGTTCCCGTGGACGCATCCCTTGAGGTCTTGTCGGTTCTCACCCGA